CCTGAAGAGGGTGATGCCCAGGTGGATTAAGAGGACAAGGGGGCTGGGAGGGGTGTTTTGGGCAGAGAAAAGAGTAAAGGCTCAGGTGAAAGGATGCCTGGTGCATTCAGGAGGAGCTACCCGTGATTCAGTGTCTTATGGGCAGTGAGGTGGGGAGGAAGGGAAGATAGGAGATGAGGTTGGGAAGGAAGGTAGGCAAGATCATGGAGGGCCTTAGCTTGAGGGATTTGAGAGGTGGGAAGATGCAGAGTTAATAAGACTGCTGATTGAGTGTGGGGAAGAAGGAAAGAGAGGTGCTCTGGATTACTTTCAGATGTCTGGCTTGGAAAACTAGGTCACTGTGATGTCATTTACTGAGATAGTGAACCCAGGTGGCAGAAGACATGTCTAAGGCATGTGGGAGGGGTGGGAGAGGTAGGGACCTGTTGAATCTGAGGAGCCTGTGGACAACCAATTGGTTATGTACCGAATCTTAGGAGAGAAATCTGGGCTGGAAATAAAGATTTGTGATTCATCAGCTCCTAATTAGTCTCAATGACTCCTCTGGTAATTGAAACCTTTGAAGTGGCCGAAGTTAACTCAAGGAGAGTATAAAATAAGAAGAGAAGGTTGATGAAAAACCATGGGGAACTCCATCATTTAAAGGATGGGTGGGGGAAAAAACCACTTACAGGAAACGGAGCACAGTGGTTAGGGAGATAGGAAAGCCAGAGAGGGTCACTGAAGAAGGCAGGAAGGCCCCTTGTCATACAGGAATCTTTGCAATGCACCATGCTGCCTCATGTATCCCCTGAAAGATCAGGTGACCTGGCCTAACCCGTACAGGGTATGAAGGAGGAAGCAAAGCTCTCCACCAGCTCAGCAGTCCACCCAGCAGCCTGCTTTATCTAGTTAAATGTTTTGTGTATGAGAAATATCAGGTAATTTACCTTTTGGCTTTTAAATAGTAAACATACATTTCTTGTTCTGAGTGCATGAACTAGATTGAAAGAATTATTTTTCTTGATTCACCGATAAAGCCTTTGTTTTGTCTGTGAAATACAGGGGTGATGATCCTCACAGAATAGGATAAGGCTGTGACAAATTAAATGAATAAATGTAGGTATGTAATACTGAGCCCAACACAGTAGGTATTCAATGAGTGATAGTCTTTTCTCTCTGTGTGTGTTGCTCTCTCTTTGTCTCTTCTCTCTCTCTTTTAATAGAGAACTTGTGCCTTGTAAAATTAAACTGCTGTTTTGGAATTCAGGTTTTTCATATGGCAGATTTCCATGAAGAAAAAAATGTTGTAATTATTGATTGAATTGTGTTTTTAGAATTAGAATTAGGTTTATAACAAATAGGAACACTGTTTGATAAACTTGCAAACAAAACAAAGCAAAAAATTGTTCTTGCTATCCCCTTGTTGAATTTGGCCCTCTGTTTCAAATTAATTAGATTTTTGGATAACTATGCTGAACTTTGTCACATCCTTATTAAAATTGTTTAAGGATTTTGAAGAGCATCTCAAAGGGACTCTGAAACTAATCTGAGTCTGGTACTGGAGATTCCATTAGCAGTCACAAACCTGATTAATCTTTTACTCAGTTAGCTTATTGATTATTGCTGCAATTACTGCATGTAACGGATTCTGCAAGGGATACCAGCAGAAAACATTTTGTAACTGCTGCTGATGTATTCAGGTTGAGCACAACGTTTTATACTTTTTATACAAAATGCTTCTGTATTTTTAAATGCTGGAGCATTTCTACTCAAAATGCTGTGCTTAATATTTTTACAGTATTAGAAGGTTCACTTTTTAATTTCTCAATTACTATTAATGCATTACAGTTTACAAAGTGCCTTCACTAATTCTATTCTGCAGTTTAATTTTGAGCTTCACACTAACCGTGTGTTATAGAGTAGATCTCTTTATTCTCATTTGGAGGAAACTAAGGTTCACGGAGGTTAAATGACTTCTTGGAGGCCACTACAAGTTAATAAGTGGCAGAGTCAAGACTGGACCCCATTTCAAACAATACGTATTTATCAAGCACCTACTATGTCCAGGGATTCGTGTTAGGAGCAGTGAAAGCCAGCTTAGAATTATAGAGACTAAGCTCAGAAAGTTATTTAGATCAACTTCAAATTATGACTTCCTTAAAGTTATAACGGTTACTGTTACTTTTCTGTCTGAACCATGTGAAGCATCTTGGCATACAAGATTGAGGCCTTTGGTTGGTTGGTTGTTTTTCATTTTGTTTTTGTCTAGTAGAAGTCATCTTTGTCATTGTTTATATTTTATCACCATTTGGAACAAAATTGGAAAGAATCCCTTTAAAGGGAGAATATATAAAAACACTGAGAGGATCAAGATCTAAAAATAACTTGCTTTGCAGCTTATTAAGTGCTGTCTTATATTTTCTCATTATAAGCTCACATTAATCCTGTGCTCAGAAATGGCCAGTACTGAGACTCCTGGGTTTGAGTCCTCTAACTCCTCCAAGTTCCTTGCTTATTTCACTAGGCAGCATAGGCCTGCTCTGTGACAGGAGATACTGTGTGTGGCTCGAGTTTTATCCATGCCCCTTAGGGAATGCCGTGTAAGTAGTAGCCTGAGCTCCTAGGTCTGGTGCCTTGTTGGCAGCCTCCTGGTCCTCAATAGGCCTGTTCCTCAGGCCAGTTGCCTGGAGTAGGCCCGCACCACAGGTTTAATTACCATCCTTTATAGTTTGTCCTTGATGGTGAATTACTTTGCCATGTGGAACACAGATTCTCTGTTACTACAAACACAGATCAAAATCAGTATTTCAGCAGGAGAAAAGGTTCCCTGAGTTTGGAAGAATTGTAGAAAACAAAAAACAAATTCTAACTACTTGCTTTAGAGGAACTGGCAAATGGCATACTTAGTATCATTACTGTGACTGAGTTAATCATACAATCCAAAGAGATGTTTATAGGTTGCTAAAAAAGTCTTACAGTGATTATAAAAATATATCTAGCTTTCCAGTTGATTTGGCACAGGTTTGAAATGAAAGGGAAATCATTTTTAAAAATTTATTTTGTGAGGTAAATAAATAAAGTTGGAAAACAGGTCAATTTCATGCATGCAAGGTTTTATAGTAGGAAAAAAATGCATTGCACCTGTTCTGACCCTTTACATTTGAGGTTATTTGTTTTCAAACTTGACCCCAAGCGCTAGTTTCAGACAACACTATAATTAATTTGTTAGATAAAGCATAAGGATATTTTATTTTGATTTCTAGGATTGTGGTGAAGTAGTAACTAAAATTACTAACCTATTGTACATAGCAGTTAATTAAAGAAAAGCATTAACTATAGGAGAACACCACCACTGCTGTTGTCTTGTATCAGTATAAAAAGGCAGTAATTTTTTTGACAGCCACTGATTGGAAAGTTGCTTGCAGCCTTCCAGAAGCAAGGGGGTACATGCTGTGGATCAATAACCAGCAAATTTCCCATTAAAAAGAATACCTGAGCAATGTTCCAAATAGCCACTGGCATCTTAATTTTCCAAGGAAACCTCAAACACTGGTATGCCGAGGACAAGTCATTTTCGGACAATTTTTCCAGACTACTTGTTAACAGTTATTGCTGTCCCAAAAGGTTGACAGCCTACATGATTGATATTTCATTTACTTGTCATCACTGTTTGAGTAATAGCGACACTATATTTCTGGGGTTTTAAGGAATATAGTCTCCTGAAAGACATCTACTTTAGTATGTATTCTGGAGAGTACATCGCATATGTTTTTGCTGTATGTATATAAGTTTTTACATACATAGAAAGAGAGGATCAGTTTCCTCTATAGTGTGAAAGCCTTGGAGAGCAGGGTACACTTATATCCATCCATATCTGTCATAAATTCACCTTCACTTTGTTTTTAGGGCAAAGAGCCTTAGACTTGTTAACTTTTTTATTTCCAAGATGATGTAGAATTTAAGATGTAGAAATAAAGAATTACATTATTTCTAAGGGAAACAAGAAAACTTGATCTTATAATAATTTAATGTACATAAAAGCAATAAGAGGACAAAAACCTATATCTTCTCAAAAGAAACTTAAGAATGTCAGCACATAATGATCAAGGAAGAATTTCCTGAAAATGTAGTAGTTAAATAACATGTTTTTAATATAAAAATAGCTCCTCAAAACACCAAATCGGAAGTTTTCATTGTTGATATTTTGCCACCAAGAACATCACTTTGTGGTTTGTCAAGTGTTATAGAAGTGAGGGCACAGAAGTGGTTTCCAGGTTAGATGGGCATAAGCTCATCGACTCTCATATTAAGGAAAATGGGAATCAGATTATAATTTAACCTACTGAATGAATCTGTTTTTGAAGGAGCGTGAAAGCTTTTTTACTTGAAACTTTATTTTTTTGTACCCAGAATTTTAAAGTGAAATTTGATCTATACTAAAGTGTTTATAAGATTAAAGCATAAAAGGTATGTTTGTATGAAACTGGGCTACCTTTTAATCAAATTATCCTATCATCTTTGGATCAGTCATGTCTTGTTTGCTTGTTCTACAGTCTCTATTACTTAGTTTTTCATCATCTGTGTATTTTATACCCAAATACGAATAATGTTTGATTAACTAACTGGCAAAGAGATCCAAGCTAAATGTGAGGCATCTTCATTTTGCTTTGCAAAATCCAGGGGAAAAGAATAAGAAAACATTCCACTAAAATGCCTTGTGTTATTTTTAATACATTTCATTTTCAAAATACTTCTACAGATCAAATACTAATCTAAAGTCTTAATCAACAGTTCTACTTTTAAAGATAAATGACAGTGTGGAGGATAACACTATACTGGGCTTTCAATCCTGAATATTCACTATAGTCATTTTAATGTGCAAATGGGGACAAAGTATTCCCGAGGCTTATATATATACACCAGCAATTTACAAAAGTACTATGAATTAAGCAACCCATAAGTGCCTGTTCCAGTATTCATACATTACTGACTAATCTCTTTCTATAATCTCTTTGCAGTATTATTCCACAGTAATGGAACAGCAAGTAAATGGACAGTTAATAGAGCCTCTGCAGATATTTCCGAGAGGTAATGTTGAACAAATTCTAATCAACAATGATTATTTCAGTAAACTGTTTCATCAACAGTTATGTTTTCCAAAGGTTTAAATGCACATAACATGTTGTTTAGCTCTTAATTTGAAAAACAAACAAACAACAAAACCCACAAAAGAAGTATTCATTATTGTGGGGATTGCAGGCTATATTATAGTTATGGCAGATAAAATATCTAATTTACTAGAGTAAATTAAACTAACTAGATTGTTTTTTTGTTTTTGAAGTACATATTTACATTCGCTTAAAGAATACTTTGGGGGTCCGCATGGTTTCTAAACCAAGGCAAATGAATTACTTTAATTTGGGGTATTTATAAATTGTGACTCATGATGATAGTCCAGGCTGCTGTTGTGGAGAAAGCTTTCAGCTAGAACAGATGCCAAGGTTTACCGAGGACTTTAGGAGAGAATTTTTGGTAGAATGTTTGGAGCTGGTTTTCTTAGGGTAGCTTTTTCTAAATAAGGGAAAGTTCTCATAAATGGAAATTGTTAAGTCTGTAAAAATACAAGCTGATTAAGGTAAGTCTTGGTGAATCACTTGGTCAAATAATTTGCTTTTTTCCCTTTTAGGTTTGTCAATACTAGCTTATATCAGATATGATTGTTCACGTGTATATAAACGTTCCCTCAAAATTTGAGTAATGGAGAAAAAGAGCAGTTTAATTATATAAACCATTAAGTCTTTTACCCATTATACATTGTCCCACTTGGAATCCATGTTTTCTAACTGATGGAACAGATATGGAAATTCTCTAAGTAACTCTTCTAGAAATAACTTAATTGAAATAATTAAAACTTAAACTTACCTTCGTTAACTGATACTGTACAAATAATCATGGTATGAGTTTTCCAATTAAACATTCTAGACTTTCATTACCTATAACACTCTGAAGTTTGAATGGCTCAATTAACTAGTAGACTCTTATTTGCACTGATAAAGTCTCCAAAGGCAGGTGACTCGGCCAGCCCACAGAGCTGGGTTCAAGAGCAGGGCTGCTCTTCTGGCAATAATGTAGGAGGTGGGATTGGGAGTACTTAGTAAATTATTAATAATAGCTTATTAAAGAGCTAAGTAAATAAAATTGGGCCATTGACAGTGTGTCTGAAACAAGAATTATAATTAATCTAATTCTATTGTACTTGAGGACTAAAAACTAAAAGAAAAGAACTTGCTATTTTTGTATATTAGTCCAATAATAAGGATGCAGATTGCTTTTTAATATTTTTAGTGACTGGAAAACTTCGTCAAGTTTCAACATTATTTCTGTACAAGGAATATTTTTTCTTTTGTGAGCAGTCCTGTCAGTGTTACTCTGTATACCATTGTGCCCCCTCCCATGATAATAACAACCATTTTCAGACATCTGCTCTGTTCCGGTACTAATATTGCTGTGTTATTATTTATAATTCTCCCAACAGTTTTGCCTATTAGGTATTATTGCTTTCATTGTATAGGTAAGAATATTGAAGTCCAGGGAGGTTTAGTAATTTTATAATCACACAGCTTATAAGTGGTTAATGTACCCTTTGAATAAGAATTTCGTTTCTAATATAATTTGCTGAAAGTAGAAGGGCAGTTTTCCTCTCCCGGGGACGGTGACTTCAGGCATGCACAATGGTCCAGCGTTTGACATACGTCGAGGCTGTCCTACAATACAGCCTCCAACAAAGCTAGACTGCCTCGAACTCCTAATAGTAGAATTGTTTACCTTTATACCAAGAAAGTTGGGAAAGCCCCCAAATCTGCATGTGGCATGTGCCCAGGACAACTGCGTGGAGTTTGTGCTGTGAGACCTAAAGTTCTAATGAGGTTGTCTAAAACGGTGAAACATGTCAGCAGAGCCTGTGGTGGATCCATGTGTGCTAAATGTGTCTGTGACAGGATCAGGCGTGCTTTCCTCATTGAGGAGCAGAAAAGCGCTGTGAAAGTACTGAAGGCACAGCACAGAGTCGGAAAGCTATTTTTTTTAAAGAAGCTTTTTTGAATAATAAAAGTAATTAAAAGGCTAAAAAAGAAAAGAAAGCGGAGGCATATAAGTTAAAATATTAGTGGTGTGCCTGGGGGAAGTTTATAGGGGTTTGTAGGAGAGTGGAGAAGAGTGAGGAATATTCCGAACACAGAACCGATTAGGCTCTAATAAATTATTAAATAAAGTCCTTCCATGCCAAATTTAAATTTTTAAAAATATGAGACTTAGTTACTCTACCCCCATGGGTTTGTGTAGGTTGTTTTTGCATGCTATTGTACAACTCTTTTTAGCTTTTTGTAGTCTTGCTTTTTGCTTGCTTATGTACATCACATATAGATAAGTGAGATTAAACAAACTTGTACAATTAGTATATAGACATATTGGATATATTAACTGGGTCTGTGTAGTTGGTTAGAGACCCTCAGACCTTAGATTCTGTGGTCAGGCCCCATGTTAAGAATTTCTGGACTGAATAAGTGAGAAAGACTGGAGATAAAGTTTCTGTTCTAGCACCAGATGTTCTCTTCATTCCAAGTAGGACAATTGCTTTGGATGGTAACTCCCAGTTCATGGCTACAAGTCCTCTCTGTTGTTAGAAAAATATGTTAAATGTTAATAAGTATGAAAATTTACTAGCTTTATAGTAACTTCTGACTCTACAACTTAGGAAATATGGGGTTACTAGGTTTTTGTTTTGTTTTGTTTTTTAATTTATCTCCATTGTTGAAAGTATTACATATGTCCCTTTTACTAGTATTCCCATATTGCCCCTCCACCCTACCCCAACCCTCACCCAGGCCTACCACACTATTGTCTGTGTTCATGGGTTATCAGATTTTCAGTCATAAAGGTTTGAAACTGAGGAATGAGGCAGATGTTAAGAGATAAGAGTTGATGCCTGTCTCTATTTGCTTAGTTAGCCACTTATTAAATAAAGCTTATGAATGCACTAGTACTTCGGTGGAAATACTCTGAAATGTCTTAGGAAGTATTAATGATCCCTGAAGGACCAAGCGTCAAATCTATGTGACTGTTGTTTTGTTCAAAATTTTAATTTCCATTTTATGGAAAGAAGATTTGGAGTCTTACTTTTAATGTATTTTGGAAAAACAAATAAAAATTCTTTATTAAGGTTTAGATATATTTTCTAGGAAAATAACAATAAATTTGAATATACTTGAAGTATATAAATTTAAAGCTACTGATGTGATTTGTAATTATTACTCATATTATTATTATTAAACAGCTGTATTTCTTGTTGTCAGAAAAAGGAAAAATACATGTACTTCTGAGAGAGGAGAAAAAAAAATCAAATTCATCCTTCCCCAAACAATCTATCAAAATTGACAGCCCCTTAACATAATATGTAGGGCACTGTAGTTTTCAGATGAAAGCAGCCTATAGCATGTGCAGGAAGCTTTTCTATTTTTAACAATTGATGAAGAAGCATTTGCTGAATTGGAAAAATACTAACCTCTAACTCAGTATGGTGTCAGGAAATTAATATTATTTTTCTTGGCACAGCTTTATCTTTAGACTTAAATATTAGCATATGTCAAGATTTGCAAGAAATATAGTAAAATTAGTGATATCTCTGTATTTTAATAAATTTGATTGCTTATTGCTGTGCAGACTTGAACATTCCATCTTTGAATCTCTAACAATCATTTTGGCTTTAAAAGGCCCTTCTACTCCTCTGTCTTCCGTCTACCCTCCCCCACCACCCCACCCCCCAAAAAACCTAGCTATTTTCAAAGTAGTTAAAGTGATAGCAGACATACAATGTAGTAGAGTGAGGAAAGATTGCAGAAATTTGAATTATGAAAGGAATATAATCATTTTAGCTCAGTTAACTTGATTTTTATATGTTTTAAGCAGAAATTGGAATTTATATAAGGTGGTGTCAGAAAGCTCTTTGCATTTATAAATGCTCACTCCTGCAAGTTAAAAACCCTGGTTCATAATTCCCACTTTGGGTCTTGGGAGCCACTTTTCAATCATTTCTCTCTGCTAATTTTGGTGTCACCCTCATTTCTTTTTAAACGATTCATTTTGAGCAAATTTGTAAATGGCCCTGATGTGTTCTACAATTTAGTCAATTACTGTTTCAGCCTGCAAGCCTCCTGGGGAACGGAACATACATGGCCTGAAGGTACGAATTTCAATAATTGTTTCAGTAAAGTTAGATGGATTTGTAATGCTGTGTTCCACTTATTGAAATGTCAAATAAAACTGCACTTTCTCAAGCTCTGACAAGCAATCTTTTTTTTTTCTTTTTTAAAATGGGAGGTGGAGGGGGATTCATCTGTAGTATTTGCTTAATATGTGTATATATTTGGATACAGAGGTTTTATTGCTATATATTTTATTATTTGGAATTGTTTTGTTGGTCTGTTTCTTCAGAATGAGCCTGGGTACTGGTCTCCACAAAGATTTATTTGAGTGAAAATATAGACTTCATTTCAGTGATTAATAAAGCACATAAGCATAGTGCCCACCCCCTCTTCGTTTGACATATTTATGCTAGAAACATATATCTATTTAATGTCTTTTCGTTGTTCTGTACATTTCAAATTCTGGATTTCTGTTTTAAGGCTTTACATTTGAAGGAAAATCTAGCTTTTAGGTTCAAACATTTTATAATTCATTATTTGGACTTCATTTTTTGTATGAATATGGAACATTCTACAGTGTTCTGCTTAGTTTTAGAGCTGGAGGAATATGACAGCTTGAGGTTCACCACTAACCCCTGATGTATTCTTAATGTACTTTTTTGAACATATGGGTCTTGAGTTTTTGTATATGAAACAGAACAAAACGGTAAATGGAATTTTTGCTCTAGAATTAAATTCAATGCGAGACAATAAATAGAAAAAAATTCCTATTTGTTTCTTCTTTTTCTCAGCACTGTTTAAGTATTTGAATAGTGACAGTAATAGAGTATTATGTAATATACAGTTTGTATAGTTCTGTAACCTATATACTAAATAGACTCCAACCATGGGTCTGTCTAGCATCAAACTAATTAACCTTCATAGTGAAATGAGAAATTTGTGGCAAATTATAGGTTAATTAGAACTGTATCCTCAGAACGTAAAACTGATCAAGATTCTTTCTTTACTTGTAGGTTAATACCCGGGCTGGACCTTCTCAACACAGCAGCCCAGCAGTCTCAGATGCACTTCCAAGCAATAGGTGAGAGCAAGCGAGTAAAGCATGTCCATAAGCATGATTATCTACAAAGTTGGGAGTGGGGAAAAGGTGCATGGGATATCACCTCTTTTCTATAAAACCAAAAAAATCTGTATTTTTTTTTTTGTCTTATAGAAGAAATATGACCAGTTAGGTTACCCTAGCTAGCCACATATCGACCAAAGAGAAAGGACTTTATAGGGAAAGATGAAATTCAACATGTTAAACTGTTAATTTTGGTCTATGGAATGGTTTTCCTTCAATTATCAAATTATACAGAAAATTCAGTGCTTTGACTATTTCATGCCTTGATGATCTGGTTTATAAATTGTTTAATGCTTTTTTTTTCTTGCTTGTCCATCTTTTAGCAGTATCATTATCTATTAACATCTTCACCAGAAAGAGACAAGGAAAGAGTAAAGTGGTAAAATTTAAATTGACCAGCCACGTTGCTCATTTTTGTATCTTTGGTTGCACAGGAGATTGAAGCTATTTTGGAAGGAAGATAATTTTCATCAACTCATGCTAACATTGCCCCACACTGTAATGGATACTAGAGACTTGAGCCTTTCAAAGTGTTTTTCTGACAGGCTTGAGAACTTCCAGACTATCACGGTGCTCAAGTAGAAAGAGTGACCTGATTAAGTTGATAGAATTTTAGGTCATCTTTGTTATACTAGTTAGTACATTCAGTTATTTAGCTAGTAAACATATTGTTGTACATACATACATCAGAGATACTGTGGCTTCCATTCTATACCACCACAAGGAAATAATACAATGAAGCAACTCACACGAATATTTTGGTTTCCTGATGCATATAAAAGTTATGTTTACATTATACTAGTCTATTAAGTGTATAGTAGCATTATGGCTAAAAAATATACGTACCTTAATTAAAAAATACTTTATTGCTACAAAGAGGTAACATCATCTGAGCCTGCAGCAAGTCCTAATCTTTTTGCTGGTGGTGGTTCTTACCTTGATGCTAACAGTTGCTGACTGATCAGAGTGGTGGTTGCTGAAGGTTGGGGTGGCTGTGGCAACTTATTAAAATAAGGCAGCAGTGAATTTTGCCACATCAACTGACTCTTCCTCTCACAAATGATTTCTCTGTAGCATGTGACACTGTTTGATAGCATTTTACCGACAGTAGAACTTCTTTCAAAATTAGAGTCAATTCTCTCAAACTTTGCCAGCTGTTTTATCAACTAACATTATGTAATATTCTAAACCTTTTTTGTTATTTCAACAATCTTCACATCATCTTTACCAGGAATAGATTCCATCTCAAAAAACCACATCCATAAGGAACAACTCCTCATTTGTTTAAGTTTTATCATGAAATTGCAGCAATTCATTCACATCTTTAGGCTCCACTTTAAATTCTAGTTCTCTTGCCATTTCCACTACATCTGCAGTTACTTCCCCCAGTGAAGTCTTGAACCCCTAAAAGTCACCCATGAAGATTGGATTCAACTTCTTCTAAACTCTTATTTGACCTCTTCCCATGTATCATGAATGTTCTTAATGGTATCTAGAATGGTGAATTATTTTCAGAAGGTTTTCAATGTACTTTGTCCAGATCCATCAGAGGAATCACTATCTATGGCAGCCTTACAAAATGTATTTCTTGAATAAGAGTTAAAAGTCATGATTATTCTTTGGTCCATGAGCTGCAGAATGGATGTTGTGTTAGCAGGCATGAATACAACATTAATCTTGTTGTACATCTTTATCAGAGCTCATGGGTGATAGGGCACATTGTCAGGGAGCAGTAATATAGGGAAAGATTTTTTTTTTTTTTTTGCACAGTAGGTTTCAATTTTAGTAGGCTTAAAATATTCAGTAAACCATGTTGTAAACAGACATGCTGTTATCCAGGCTTTGATGGTCCATTTATGGAGTACAGGCAGAGTAGATTTAGCATAATTCTTAAGGGCCCTAGGATTTTCAGAATGGTAAATGAGCACTGGCTTCAACTTACTCACCAGCTACATTATTTCCTAACAAGAGAGTCAGCCTGTCCTTTGAAGCTTTGAAGTTTTCATTGACTTCTCCTCTGTAGCTATCTCCTGAACACACAGAGGCCACTATAGGGTTATTAATTTGTCTGATTTCAATATTGTTGTATGTAAGAGAATGGGGAGGCTGGAGGAGAGAGAGACACACATAGGGAATGGCCAGTCAGTGGAGCAGTCAGAGCACACACATTTATTAAGTTTGCTATATTATATAGATGCAGTTTATGGCTCCCCAAAACAATGACAATAGTGACATCAAAGATCACTGATCACAGATCACCATAACAAATAATGAAAAAGTTTGAAATATTGCAAGAATTACTAAAATATTGCAAGAATTACTAAAATGTGACTCAGACACAAAGTGAGTAAATGCTATTAGAAAAATGGCGCTATAGATTTGCTCGGTGCAGGGTTGCTGCAAACCTTCACTCTATAAAAAACATAGTGCCTGCAAAGTAAATAAGGCAAAGTGCAATAAAATGAGATATGCCTGTATTTGAAGATGACCCAGAGAAGGTGATTGCTCTGTGTGTATGTATTCACATCAGTGACTGACAAACCAACATGAAACCAAAAAAACCCTTTCATTCTATGCCAGGTTTTTCTGGGTTTAAGGCTGTAGACAGTATTTGCACAGCCCTTTATCAGCTGAGATGTAGTTTAGACTTCTACTTTCCCTTCCATACCTCTCCTTCCCGTCTTAACCCTGAGTCTTGGTTTTTGTTTTTGTTTTTGCCAGGGGACTTTACTGTAGGTAATTTAAAGTCTCTGCTCTGACTCTATCTTTACTCCTGTCCCCTCCCCAAAGTCACTTCCTTGATTGTTGTGTCATTATATCTACCCACCAACTTGTCTTCTACAAACATACCACTCTTAAAGTATGGTTCCTTCTTAAGCAATTCATTCTGTCTTAAAATACAGCCTGGTTATTCACCAGTGAGTCATCTGTCTTGTGATCATGGGGTAGATTTTTTAGTTCTCATCCAGGGGCTTGACCTTGCCAAGCAATGCTTTGTAGCTTCTCTCTTCCTACTTGTTGGGCATGTGAACCATGGTCCAACAGAGTGGAGGCATGGGGACTGAGGGCCACTCATTACACTCAACTCATAGTGGTCAGGGCATTTAATTACTACCACTACTTGCAGAAAAGATATTTACACAGACTGACCATGAACTTTGAGGAAACCCGAGACTTTCCCTGGTGTTTTAGGTCAAATTTTATCATTTTATAAAAAGAGGATAGAGTTGAAAAAGATGGCAAGACAGAGAAGAAGCAGAATAAATTTTCAGTTCTCTCAGGTTTGGTTTTAACATGAGTGAATTAGCTTGATTTTTTAAAAAGTATCATTTATACTCAGAGTATTATAAAATCTTTGGGTTGGACAGAGAGTGTCTGATCTAGTGGTTCTCAGCCTTTTGTTGCAGCATCTTCCCTTAGGATATGACAGCCTCCCAAATGGTAACAGTTTGCTCCAGTAGTGATTTCTATTATGGGAGGAATGCAACTTGAACAAGTCCTGCAGGTGATTTTAATATGCCACCCTGGCATGGCCTTGTTCTGTGCCTCATGTTGATAATTAATCAACAATTTTATTGAGTGTATTCAATTCATTAGGTGCTGTCCTATGCATTAAGAATACAATATGGTCCTTGTCCTTTGGAGCTTGCTATCTTGTAAGCACACAGACCCCCTCCCCCCCCAAATCCAAAAATACAAATAACTATACTTTATAATTAGTTTGGAAACAAGTTTTGAAGAGAGCAGAGTAGGCAGGAATATGTTTAGATTTAGACTGCATGCTTGGGGAAGACTCTCTGAGGAAGAGTGACATTTCCCAGAAGGATGAGGAGGACTAGCTACATCAAAAGCCAGAGAAAGGGCACGTCAGAGGGAGGGGAGAGCACACGTGAAGGCCTGGGGTGAAAAGGAACTCAGCATATTTGTAAGTAGGCCAGTTTGGCTGTGCACAGGGTGGGGTGCTGAGTTGAGGGGAGATATGGAGAGAGAGGAGAAGAGCAATAGGGGTGATGGGAGGAAAGGAGATAGACAGGAGCCAGGTCATGCAAGGTCATGTGTTTGAATTTTCCTCTCAATGTATAGACGACTTTCAGTAGGAGAGTGCCTTGGCCAGCTCCGTGTTTATGAAAGACTCTGCCTGTGGTGTGGAGAATGAGACGGGAAGCCCCAATCTAAGCCTACTCTCCTTAGATGCTTGACTTCAGCTTGCCAGGTGATCATCCAGACTCTTCCTGAGCATCTCTGTGGCAGGAATGCTCTTTATTCGCCAAGGTAGCCTATTCTGTTTTCATGTAGCTGAATCTCAGAACACTCTTTTTCTGAGATTTGTCTACCTTTACTACCCACTCAAAGATTTGGTTTAGCCATAAAACAGGGCTGTTCTCTCTTCTAGGTGATAACTCTGCCAGTCGTCTTCCCTCTGAACATACTTCTCTGAGATTTCCGATCTTAGTGAATTCTCCCATATCTACCCAGCTGCTTACCCCAGATGACCTGCCAGTCACCCTGCACAGCCTCCTGGGGTTTCCTCAGCCCCACATGCGGTCATTCCCTACCTCTAAATCATTCTGGAGTCTTGTCTACTTGCCAGCACCCCTGTTGCTATAAAGGTTGTTCAGGGTCTTACCAGCGGTTCTCAACCATTGGGTCGCGAACAATGAAAATACATCCTGCATATCAGATATTTACATTACGATTCATAACAGTAGCAAAATTACAGTTATGAAGGGGCAACGAAAATAATTTTATGGTTGGGGGTCACCACAACATGAGGAACTGTATTAAAGGGTCGCAACCTTAGGAAGGTTTGCTACAGCCTCCCAATAGTTTCCTCCCTCCAGTCTTGCCCCATTGAAGTCCCTCCTGCACACTGCGGTCAGAATTGTCTTGCTGATGTGAGTTCTAAGCCTATCTTCCCTTTTACTGCTTCTCACAGTCTTCAAGGAGAAGTGTACCCTCACAGCAGGTGAGCAGTGGCCTTTTACATGTGGGTCCTCTGCCCTTTCTGGGCCCCGGCCGGCCACTTTGCCCCTTCTTAGCCGACATTCCAGGTCTGCTGGTAAATGTGTGGTGCCCTTAATGGATCACGTTTCCTCTCACTACTGGGGTTTTCACATCTGCTGCCTCTTTCCTGCATTGCTCCTCTTTTAATCCCCTTCTTCACCTTCAGTCTGGCTAATTTTGGTCATCTTTGAGGAACAAAACTTATCTTCTAAAAACCATACTTGATTATTACCCACTTCCCGGTCTATACCAGGTACCCCTTCTATGAATTCCCATAATCCCCCTGTGCTTGCCTTACTATAGCAGTTAGCACATTGTATTATAATCACCTCTGTCCCCTGTAAATTCTGTACTCTTTGAGGACAGTGACTATAACTTATTCATTGTTGAATTCCCAATTCCTGGCTTAATTCTTGGGATATAGGCGATAGTAAGTAATGTTTGAATGAATGAATGAACAAACGAACTAATTTAGATTCCTTTTAAGTCTTTTTGGGGGATTAAATTCTCCCAACTCATTCAGCTTTTCTTTAAAGCCTTTTTTTTTTTTTTTTTTTTTTTTTTTTTTTTTTTTTTTTACTGATTTTTCAGAGAGAGAGAGAGAGAGGAAGGGAGAGGGGAAGAGATAGAAGCATGGATGAGAGAGAAACATCTATCGGCTGCCTCCTGCACGCCCCCTACTGGGGATGTGCCCTGACCCGGAATCTAACCAGTGATTTCTTGGTTCATGGGTCAGTGCTTAACCACTGAGCCACACTGGCCAGGCTTATTCAGGCTTTATGACATTATTTCTAGTCCTCTCACCCTTTTACTCTTCTTTGGATGCCTCAGTGTCCCTCTTAAAGTGTCATAACCAGGTTATAATTGTATAACATTTAAATTTTAAAAAAGACTTTAAAAGTCATTTTTAAAAGTCACTGTGACCATACAGATAAATAAAATATCGAGTAAACTGGGCCACAAAGAAAATTTCAGAATACATAGATATAATTTTTTACCAGACAAAGCTGGTAGCCAGATATTGGCATAATGAATGAAATCAGCTTTTTCCTCTGTTACTCTCAATGCATTAATCCGTCTTTGCCTTAGGTCAGTGGTCGGCAAACCGCGGCTCGTGAGCCACATGCAGCTCTTTGGCCCCTTGAGTGTGGCTCTTCCACAAAATACCATGTGCGGGCGCTCACGTACAGTGCGATTGAAACTTCTTGGCCCATGCGCAGAAGTCGGTTTTCGGCCTGGGCGAGTCTATTTTGAAGAAGTGGCGTTAGAAGAAGTGGGGGGTGTCGGTCGGGCCGCGGGAGACGCAGCGCGGGGGAGGCACGCTCGATTCATTCAGGAGTTGAGTGAGCCAGTCAGTCAGCAATCTCATTGTTCAGTGGTTAGTGCTAGTCGCCTCCGCAAATCGCGCGCGGGTGACAAAAGATACACGAAACAAGTATACAAGACGTGTGTGGATGGGAGAGTTGGAAGGGGTCAACCTCAGCGAACGTACCTCAATCAGATTGAGGATGTTTTTAGCAAAGGCCAGCTTAGGAGTACCCTAATTAAGTTAATAACAATGTACCTACCTATATAGTTTAAGTTTAAAAAATTTGGCTCTCAAAAGAAATTTCAATCGTTGTACTGTTTATATTTGGCTCTGTTGACTAATGAGTTTGCAGACCACTGCCTTAGGTGAGTGGCTGTTTGTTAGATTGAGTTTACTAATCCACATGGTGTTCCTAGGCCATAATTACGGAATTCAAGTTCCACTACCAAGGCAAAACCTTTCCCAAACATCTTGGTTTTTGCCTTCTATAAAATTAGAATGATTAGACTTTCTATCTACCTCTGGTGTTAGAAGGTTGATGAAGTTGTATTAAGGGATCACGTTTTGTTTCTTAGATGAAAGGTATTTTGTAAATGCAGTGAATCAAAATGTTATTATTTCAAGTTGTGTAATAAAATGGAATATCTGTGGAGAAACATTGCCTGAGCATTCTTTGGTTATTTCTGTTTTTACAAAAATTGTAGCTATTAAATTGGGAGTCATTTATGGGAATAGAATGATCTAGATGTTTTTCAGGGGGAAAAAGTATGAGTATGTGTTAAGAGAGAGAGACTGACTTTGAGCAAGGTCTATACCTTAATTTTTTAAATATAAATTAGGAGTAACTATACCCCACAGGCCAGTTTTCCTAAACTAATGCACAAGGGTATAGTTATTGTAAGGATTAAATCAGGATTATAAGTAATAGCATTTAGCACAGTGCCTGGTGTGTGGTCATCACTTAGTAAATGGTAGTTGCTATTTTTTAATTTTTTTAACTGGACTGATTTTAGGCAGTTATTTTTTATATATATGTTTCAGCTTTGGTTCCATTCTACAAAATTCTTAACTGCTGCTTTAGTGCATGAATTCTTAGATTTGGGAGGACATTGTTAAAGTTTAGAACCCTTGGTTGAAGTCAGGCTTTATAAAATCGGGGGAAAGTAGAGACTAAAGCAGTGATGGCGAACCTTTTGAGCTCAGCGTGTCAGCATTTTGAAAAACCCTAACTTAACTCTGGTGCCGTGTCACATATAGAAATTTTTTGGTATTTGCAACCATAGTAAAACAAAGACTTATATTTTTGATATTTATTTTATATATTTAAATGCCATTTAACAAAGAAAAATCAACCAAAAAAATGAGTTCGCGTGTCACCTCTGACACGCGTGTCATAGGTTCGCCATCACTGGACTAAAGCTTCATAGTTTTCATTTGACCATAGCAAAAGTTTAAGAAGTATTTAGAAAGAAGACTGATTATTACTTAGAATAGTGAGTGTGTGTGTGTGTGTGTGTGTGTGTGTGTGTGTGTCCAACATATAATAATAGCCAGAATAATTATCACTATTTATCAAACACATGCCAAGTCACTGGGCTAGGTTCAAAGATGTGAAGGGAATGGAATACATAGATAGGTGAGTAAGATGTGGTCTGTGTTCTCAGGGATCTTTCAGTTTTGGGGGAGGTGTGGTAGGTTAAATGACATCTGTCTATACAGATGACTAACACAGGGAGAAGAGTTACTTTGGAAGTTGAGGTTCAGAGAGAATAAATAAGTAACCTGTCCCAGAACACACAGCTAGTGAGTACCAGGATTTATTTCCACTACACATTTGCTTCCCAGGAAGTGAATTTTAACTCTAAGGATAGTAAAAGATCAGGATTTAAATCATCTTATCTTTTGAAGTTCTGTAACCTTTGTTTGATGTGAACATTCTAAGAGTACATCATTAAGTACTTTGTATTTAGCAGATAAAGAATCCACATAAAATAGCCACTGAAAGGCTACCCAAAGGCAGCAGAACTAAGCCAAAATAAGTCACGGAAGTCGTCTACAATATTCTGTCTTCATTTTTGACTGTAGGCCTCTTTATTACTTTAAATTACTAATAGGGTTGCAGTCACTTTATTAATAGTTTTGCCATTTGGCCAGTTACTTTTGAAAAAATATTATACAAGGAGAAGGATATAAAGAGTATAGTCTCTGTATATATGTTTTTACTCTGGAATTTTCAATGGTGTTCAAAGGTGTCGATGATCTTGCCATTAAAAATTATGTTTTCCCTTTCCAGCTTAAAGAAGTCTTCTGCTGAACTGAAAAAAATATTAGCTAATGGCCAGGTAGGTGTCATCGTTAATATTTTCAGATAGTAGTAACTTATTACTGTCTAGTTTTTGTATCCATAAACTTAACAAACAGATAAAGAATCCGTGAATGTCTTCTTATCATAAATGAATTACATGGCTTAATTTGATTGGCAGAACAATTTGCAGCACGTTTTTCAAACTGTGCTAATGGGTTTCACTCCCGGCAGATTGAAGTACCATGCACACACCCTGCTGCCTTCTCAGTTTAAAAAAAGTTAATCAGTTCTGAACAAGTGTGTCAACCCATGGGTTGTCGAAATGGCCCTGTATCCTGAGGTGACTGTTTCTTTCATTATCTTTGGGGAGAAAAAATAAACCAAACTGTTACTTTCTCACCATAGCACACTTCTTTTGTCCTGAAACTAACACTGGCTTTTCAGGGAAATAGAATAACAGCAGATCTTTGGCATTTAAAATTCCGAGGCTTTAGGAGCTCTGGTTTGCCTAGTCGACTGTCCATCTTAAAGCTGCATGACCTAACCCACCCAGTGAGGGACAAACGGGCCTGCAGGCCACTTATTTCTCACTAATTTTGATTCAAGTAAATGGACACATCTGAAATAGTATAGTGCTTTTAAACATACATTGGTAAATTAAGCTACCTACCGGGTCCTCGATTCTTCAATAGCAACATAAATGTGTTTTAATGTTTGTTATAGAGGAAGCCCTTTGATAGCCTTGGAGGCAGGCGCCTGTCCATTGCGATTAAGCCTGCCTATTAGGCTCTATTGACTGAGACATCTGTGTCACTGCAAATAAAAGACTCTTATTGATTTTCTTAACTGCTGTTCACTTCCCGTCCATGTTTCGAAGGCTGAAATCTTAATTATCTCAGATGCTTATTCAGTGCCTTCACACACTGACCTCTCCAAGCCTCATTGGCATTTCATGAATCAAGTACTTGTAGTGGAGCATGTCAAGAAGACAAAGCTGGGTCCTCATGCTTGTCCTTTAATATCACCTGTAACTTTATGGCCTAATAGATGGGTGTGCCTTAAAACAGTGACTGTATGGTGGTGCTCCTGCAAGCCTGCCTTATTTAGTGCGCAATCCCTTGAATACAGTTGGAAAAAGTAAGCTGATCTGGTTTTAACATCTGATCGTCATCCAGAATGTGTGGGTTCTAGTCCGTACACATTGTATACACAGCGAAGACGAATCTGGTGTTGTAGGTGTAATCTTTATGAATTTTAGATCATATTTATCTAATATTTTTAACTTTAAGCAGTCTGAGATTGGTTTAGATTGAGGTTCACATGTGTGTCCTTCTGGTGCCCTGTGTGTGTTCAGAGTCAGTATGAAACAAACTGGACTAAAAGCACAGCCTAGGATATTTATTTTGTTTTTTTTGTTTTTTCCCTAGGATGTTTATATATCTTCAACATCTTGTTACTAATTGTAATTTATGTATGAGTCACTTGTGTTCTTCAGCTGGAAAATATATTTCAAAATTGACATAAATTAAGAAGCTTTAACTACATTTGTTCAACCCAGGCAATGGAAAATAACCTGTCATAGATTCCCCTTTCAGAAATGAAAAACAGTTTATTTCCACTGCAAAAAATAAACATCCAGAAATGTTGCTTGTGTTTTGACAACAAACCTAGTGCCATAAATATCTTAGTGGTCTTGGTTATGAGGTTCCCTTCAGTGGAAGATTGTTACGACAGTGATTTTTGACACTTAAAAGATTGTATTGCTTTCCCTTGGGAATGTGATAACCCCACATTAAACAGTATGGTGTTTTCTTTCTCTTAAGGATAAGCCTTCTTTATATTTACTTTCATTCACAAAAACAAACACAATTGGAAGTCTTCAAAAATTCCTTCTACCAATTCCTCAATTCCTTGATGCTGTAGGGTAACTAAAGAGTGAGTGAGATTGCATTGCAGCGAGGTAATGTGCACAGTTGTGGGCGTCAATAAATTTCTGGGCTGAGCACTGACACCCCTTGATATGGAAGATGTAAGTCACATTTAACGATACTTTAACACTTGAGCATAGTTTTTTATTTTAGTGGTTTATGCTCTCAAGCATTAATAATGATTTGCCTTTCCACTAGCCTCCACTTAGATTTAATAAGGAATTCATATTAATCATTAAAAGAAAGGGACATGATTCTTCAAGATAATCAAATATTGACAGGTTAGAAATAGCTTTCTGCCTGGGTTCATTGATATAGGTTATGTGATATAAATATTTATTTCTTTTCTGTCACTCAGAGTAAATGCCACCAATTGATTCAGCATTGATATAGTGTCAACAGTTCATAAGAAACATTTGACTGGCTTGTATTTTCCGATTAGTCTCTGCTCTATAAAGTGGGATTTACTAAATCTCTCCAATTGTCTGCTCATAGAGTGTGACTGCTTCTGAAACCATTATTGCTTCGATTTGTGAAGCAAAGGTCTAGTGATAGGACTAGTTTCTGTCAGACCTTTACATATAAAATAAGGATTAATTGAGCATTTTTATTTTAATGATTTATAAGCGATAGATACTGATTCTTCTTAACGCAGACAATAAACAAAGAATATTTTCTTTGCTGATTCATAATTGAATTCCATTTCATTTTTCCCATTAATTTCATTAATTTTATATTAAATCAAGCACTTTTTAAAAAGTTTAACATTTAGTCATTGGAATAGAGATACCATTTTTCTGTTATTGCTTAAGTAGAGGATTCCTTAAGGTATTTTTGGCATGTTTTATTTAGAACTATAAATCAGTACCAAATATGTGTTTTCTGGATGCGTTTTTTCCCACTTCAGTTTTAGTGTGCTATCTTCTATTTAACATTAGCTCTTGATTTGAAACTGAAAGAAAAAAAAAAGGCCCAGTGGGTCAATTTAAAGGATTTAAAAAGTGCACAGTTACTCCAAGTATGTGTAACTTTGACCTTTGCATTTCTAAAGTTGTTTTTCCTCTTTTTAATTTTTAGATTTTGTGGGAGATTTTGTGACAGTATTTTGTTATTCCCAATAAATCAAGCATAAATGTACTGAGAAGTCACAGATCTAGAACTAATTCTGATCCTGCTGCATGTTTGGCTGGTATTTTGAGAACTTCAAATGCCTTTAGAAAAACTTTTTTGTTTTAAAAAAACAAAAGGAGGAGGAAGAAAAATAGGCATTGTACTGTAAAATTAGCTTTAAATTCTAATTTTCAGCAGTATATAAAACTCTTAGATTCTTACAGTTCATCTTAGATCCCATATGAAGACTGAAACATAAACGAGACTGTGTATATAAGTCCAGACTACATGACACCCTCCTCTACCCACACAACACACCCTTTCTGCCCTGAGTGTGTGCCTACATTTCTTTCACAGCACCTGCCTCTCTTTCAGCAGGAGCAGAGCCCAGTGCCAGTCATTTCTCCCAGGTCATTTGCCATTTCTGCAGCTGACAAGTAATCATAACTCTCATGGCTTTTCTTTCTCCACCCTCACTTCTGTTATTCTGCCTTTTATTTGCCTTTTTTTTTTTTTTTTAGTCAAAACAAGGAAACAGTTATATTTAAAATTTATTTTGATATCTTTGTTGAATAAAAGTTTTACTTTACCTCTTCTATGTAAAATGCTATGTAATTTTTTAAAGTTTTCTTCTTAAAAACAAATACCATAACTAATGAAATTGCTTTTAACTTGTGAGTGGCCTCGAGTTGATTATTTTCCTTCCTCTGGGCAGTGACCATGGATGGCGAGGCTGTCCATCCATACTTACACAGACCAACTGCTAAGATCGAGCCTCTGGTGGAGCACATGAAAGACAGTTCTAGCCTTGACTAGTTGCTGACTAGTTATGTGAATTCACATATGACCTATGTGAATTGGGCTAAATGCTTAAAATGCTATACAATTCTGTGGTTGTGAGATCTGATCCTAATTACTGTATTATTTAAATGTACTCTGTGGCTTTTAAACCCCACTTTTGCATCATAATGAGCACTCTTCCTGTGCTTCATTTTGAAAAGTTGGATTAGTAGACTTATTTAAAGTAAAAGGGCAGAAGTATTAACTGTTTGTTGATCCCTTTAATGGTTTTCCATAATTGAGGTCAATTAAAATAATACATTTTGATCAGAGCTATGAAATTCTGAAAATTTTATAATCAATTTATGAGGTCAGCTCTGATAGTTTTCCTTTGTGAAACTTTTTTTACATCATAATATTTGTATACCATACAAAATTAGAAAATTCAAATAAGCAAAAAGAAAAAGAATCTAATATTTTAAAATATAAAATCTATCAATGAGTTCATAGGTCAGGCAGCGGTCTATAAAACTTTAAAACATCATAGAAACACTTTCCCCATTTTTTATGGATACTGTCTTTTTATGTGGTATTGTTCCTAGAACTTGTTCAAAACCATTTTTATATTTATATGGCATTTACAATCTACCTCATTATCCGAGGGATTCCAGACTCCTATCCTTGAATTTGCTTACGTAGCGCACGCGCATACACACACCATACAATATTCTCTATCTTCTGACTGTTCTGGATGCCTACCACTCCTGCTTAGGTTGGGTGCTGGGAATGCTGGATGGGTGGCTGCTCCCTTTCTCTTTTCAACTTAATGGGTAAAAAGACTATGAATTTGGGATTATAATGGTTGAAGCTGCTCAGCGACATGCCATACTTACTCCTTTGCCTTCTCTTCCTCCAACAAAATACCACAAAATCAAACTCCCTCCAAAGTCCTAGGTCTATCCTTGTATATTATTGGAGTATCCGTATGTCTTGGTTTGGGTATTTTTCTGAAAGGAAACTCCTGGTCCTTTTACCAGAAAGGCCCTGATGGAGTGATGGAGGCGAAGGGGATATGACCACAGAATGCACCTCACCAGAGCCCGGCTCCCATATACTCCATAGCCCCAGCCTACTTACTCTTAAATCTCAGCGCCACTAATTCAGAATTTGTGAACTTGAGTGAAATTTACTTCAAGCCATGATGAGGGTGCAGCTTGTTAGGGAAGTTAATGGTACAAATTAGGTTGTTAGAGTCATGTTTCAACTACATAGAGAAATACTTTAAAGGAATTAGCCTATTTGTACCCACCAATAGTACTGCTATTTACGTATGTATCCTTTATACCCATCCATCAAAGTAAACCAAATAGCAGCGCTGCTAGTTTGGCATCTCAAGTTACTTTATGTGCTCCTTTTTTTAATGCTGTCTTAAAATTTATCATTTGGTCCAGAATAATGAGGTTTTTTTCTTCATGCCACATCTTTCACGCAGGTTAAAATATGGTGGTGGTTGTTTTCTGTATTAGTAATATAATTAGTGAGGAACAGAATTTCCCTAAAATGAGGAAATAGTTGTCAGTTTTTCCAACTTGTCTGTCATATCTCCACTAACCCTAAATATAGTAATTAGCTAATTGCAAATTGCATCAATCAGGTTGTACTACAATTAAATCGGGTGCGGAATTAGCCTTCATACATTAATCTGTTAATATTCTTTTAGGGGTTGGCAAAGTGGCTTGAAAAGGAAGCTGTTTCTGTTACCTGCACTGTACTCCTAATTATTACAGCTCTCTGAAGCTTCAGTTTCAGAAATGTATAGAAGAAAAATATTTCCCTTGATAAATGAAGCCTTGCTTTATTCAATTGGTGGGAGTTTAGAGTACAGCAAAATAGTTAAAGCTTTACTATAATAGTCTGAAAGCAAACTATTTTTTTCCAGGTGGTATTGAATTAAAAACTCCATCCATTTTCTGCCCATGCAAGGCAGTTCAATTCCCTGGAAATTGATTTTTTTTCAGGGCTTAGTATGGCTTTTCCCAAGCTTTAGCTATATGGAAAATAACACCTTTATTGAAGCCACTTAGTGAACAAAGTTGGCAGTTAATTTTTAAGCAACCAGACCAGTGTGTAGAAAATTACTAAATGGATCAAATATAATCTGACTACTCTTAAAGTAATTTGATAAATAATTATTAGGGAGTTATTTTGTGGGTGCTAAAATAATTTACTATTATTTGTGATACAAATGAAAGTAGTATTTGTGGCATAACAGTTTTACAGAACCTGGGAAAATGTGTATGCTGTTTTATATATTAAATTATGGAAATGATTTTATAAGAATCACATGCTTATATGGCTTTCTTGTATGCATTATAATATTTGCCTATATGTGCATTTGAAAGTGCATTGATTTGGCATTTGTCTATCATCTAATATGATTTCTACCCAGTTATTGCTGTATACTAATTTATCATTTCCAAAGAAAAGCTATATCTACTCTAGGAAAAATCATTAACATTACTCAGTTTGTTTAATGTTAATTATAGGGTCATCTGAGGAGTTTTCGGGGGCTGATTTATTTACAGATCGTGAATTAGATTACTGTGTGTGTGTGTTGTCTTCCCAAGTTTGACTTTGGTTATGTGCAGCGCTGTTGGCATTGCTTATATGTAGTACTGGAGACTGTGTTCTTATCAGTATCTCTGACCTGACCCTTTTGAGCTATGTTATATCATCCCATTTTGACACCTTTTATCAAACTTTAATGAAATGACCCAGGCAAACAAATTGTCATTAAACTTTCCATCACTTTGTCCCTTGGTATCGTCTTTTATAAATTGGACAGCAAATGTTGTATTGATCTTCTCGTTCTTGCAGCTGAACTTGAAATGACCCAGACTGCTTGTTGTTTATGGCCCAGAGTTGCTTTTCCTTGACATTTCCATCCACAGCATGACACCCTTTTTGTTTTTCTCTCTTTCTTGTGGAGATGAATGAACAAGACATACGGTATCGAGACACCCTTGGTCATGGCAACGGAGGCACAGTCTACAAGTGAGTAGTCAATTTTGTTTAAACTTTCCGCTCTCCACATGTGGGTATCCAAGTTCTCCTTGGCACAGATTTTTAAAAGACCACCAGCGCTTAGATCTTATTTCCAAATTTGACTCCAAAATTCTGCAAGGCATCTATTTTTCTCAGGAATTGCTTGGAAAAGTGCATTTATATAGCCTTTTTAATATTTCTGAGTCTGTATTTCTCCTGGGTGATCCGTTAATAGTCCACCATTAGCAAGTGTGCCTTTAATTGGCCTGAAGTGTAATGCATTTTTTCCTTCTCTCTTTAACATGATTTTTTAAAACTTGCTAGCACCCTATGCTAGTCCCCTGCCTGTTTACAGCTATGCCCAGTGGAGGACATATCTTATAAATACCACTGCTTTGCGCTGTGTCAACACTGTAAGTTATTAACAAGACTTCTTCCTGTTGTATTTCCTTCTCTCCCCACCCCGTTCCCCTGAGAGAATTTCTACACATTGATGAATATGTTAAGTTATAAAATTCTCCCAAATTCAGGTTGCAGTGATCTTGTCCTAAAGGAGTGTTCATTTTCATATTAAAAAATGCTAACCATAAAATGTAGTTCTCTCAATAGGGAAGTCTTTCTCGTGTAGTGCAAAGTTTAAACTATATAATGTAATATCTGGTACTTAATAGTCTGCAGTGGTGTATGAAAAATATTCCACCAGGAATTAAAAAATCCATACTCTGTAAGAAAGCCCTGAGGGAGAAATAAAGCTTTCCTCCAGAGAGCTAACCCTGTATCACATTACGATTGTGTTTTTACCTTAGATATTTTAACATTGATGTTAATATATATTTTCAAAGTTGTAAAATAATTTATTTTCTAATTGGTTACTAATGTCCCTAGAATTTTAACTAACCACATGAATACATGTAAAAATTGCCCTATGACCATGAAGGGTCGCATCCTAATACCCCAGAACAACCTCCACATATAGATGCAGTCTTGGCATAGAATTAGATTCCTCAGGGTTAGAAGCTCCTTCAAAGTCATCTGCTTCAGGCCCCACCCAGGGCTTCAGTCCTCCCTGCAGGTAGAGCCAGGATGTGAGTCCTTTCTCTTGAATACAGCCCTTTCAGAACTTGTGTTTACATTATCTGGATGATTTTTCCCTACAGATGACTGGATACTTTGAATAGTTGGTCTAAATGTTAAGTACTTGCATTATGATAATTCAGAAGATAAAGTAAGGGCATATTTCTTATACAGCACTTGTGTCTTGCTTTCAAATGTTTGATGACTGTGTCTAGTGAGTTTGAGGCTACTGTTGGCCTTCCTTGGATCATACTAGCATTCCTTCCCATGCAGTCCCCAGTTCTGCACAACTAGCATCTCTTCATTTTAGTCCTCTCCTCCTTACTTTTATCTGACTTGGATTTTCACTCTTTTCTGAAGGTTCATGGGCTCAGGTACTCTTAGAAAGGAAAGAAGGAACATGTATACTCCGACTTTCTTCTCCTGATTTCCCTGAAGGGAGAAGTTTTCAAAGCTTCAACCTTCCTTCTTCATGCTTTCATGCTGATAGCCAGATATAATAATACAGGAAAGATTTCTAGCAACTCTTTGGATTCCTTTTATTGGCTTCAAATGGAATCCAAAAACATTTCTTATTTGTGCTGTTTCATCAAATATTTAACTGTCAAGCATGTTTGTATTTTTTAATTGAAGGCCGATTATGAATTTACTATCCTGGTTTGTTCCAGAAGGGAGAAAACATAAAGCCACCAAATCCCAGCAGATAATTTTTACTTGAAATAATATTCTAATGTTAAAATTCTAATCTTTCACCTTAAAACACAGGCTTATATCTTTAAAAGGGAGAGAGATGGAAGTAACATGCCCACCTAGCAAGGAAAAATTATAGCAAAATTACATTAATATTTTTAAAATATTATTTTTAATTGTGATAAAATACATGTAACATAAAATTTACCATCTAAATCATTTTTAAGTTCAGTGGTATTAAATACATTAACATTATTGTGCAACTCCCAACACCACCCATCTGCAGAACTCTTTTCATCTTGCAAATATGATACCCTGTACCCATTAAATAATAACTTCCCGTTTGCCGGGTTAATGTTTTTAGCAAGAAGCATGGCTAGAACTTCTCCTTTTATTAGGGCCACAATATCCAAGGGAACATCCTCCCACATGTCCTTAGCCCTTTAATTTGCTGGCATGCTACAGTGACATTAGCAACTTATCCTAAGAGTTCATTTAGCTACCATTTCTTAGGCTCAATATGCATGTTGTAAGACTTAATGTTTTTGGCAGTGGTTGTTAATGGAGGGTGAGTACTAAAATATGATCATTTTAGTACTTTATTTTGTATAGTTGATTTCTTATGAAAAGAAGACATTTCAGTTACCTTATTGCCTAGGTGATTCTTAAGGAAAAGGACATGAAGATACCAAATTGCATGACTGCTTGTCATTGATCATTGGCCTTCACTACTTCCTGGGCTTCAATGTATGCTGTTCTTATGTCCCTGGCTTTTAGTTCAGCACAAAGAAATGATATAATCATCAAGAAATGAAAATCCACTTTACTAAAGTCTCTATAAAACCAAATGTTTTATGTGTTATGATTGACTTTCTCCTACAATAAGTTTACCTTAATGGTTTTGACTATAAAAATTGTGATTTTTTTCAAACAAAATGATTACATTACAGGCTATGCTACATAAACTAGATGAAGAAAATATTGGAAAATCCACTCGTTGGTAACAAAACTGCTTAATGGGCCTATTTAATTTTTTTCTTATAAAGTATAATAAAGCTAATAAATACAAAGCAAAAGTTTAACATTCCAGTCTTATTTGCTCCACTTTATGGGCTATTGTGACTTGCAAGGGACAAACTGCAATATATATTACTTAATAGTTGGTGACATTTTCATCCCTTACGTCTAGATGTTCTCTCCAGTTATGCAACATGAAATTCTGTGTCTAGTCCCTGCCCTTCTCTGATAGTGATCCAGGCAGATAATATTAAGTTGGTATTTCTTGGACTACTGAGTTGGATGAAATGGACCATAAAGGAAACACCTTTCACTAAAATATAGCCCAAGCCTAGGAGGAAGAATAATTTAGGAAAAGGAAATGAATGCACCTTCATTATTGCTCCATTTACCAAAGTACTACAAGTTGTTCCAAAAAATTCATTCAGGAAAGACACATGTTCTGTTCCCCTCTGAAAGATTCACAATGAATCTCAAAAACTTTGAGAAAGTAGAGAGCAGTATGTGTTGTGATTACATGTGGGGGTTCTAAGTTTGAATCCTGCATCTGCCACTAACTAGCTGTGTAACCTTGGGAAAGTTATATCATGTCTTCTGCCTCAATTTCCCTATGTGTAAGATGGGGATATCTGTCTTACAAAGTTGTTGTGAGTTTAAGTGAGATGTACCATAGAAGAAGCTTACCACTATGACTGACACTAAATGTTAGCTACTGGTAATGTTAGCTACTGGTAATGGTAGTATTAATAACAGAAAAGTCATTAAGCCTTTATGCCCCCTATGCTTACTTGGCTATGGGATTATTTTTCTGAAATGCACCTATAAACATCTCACAGAATTACTGTTGTGTTGAATTAATTTTGAGAAATTCTACATTATATTATGATATGTAGTATATTTCTGTGTTTTCTTGTATTTTCTAGTTGTCTCATGAATATGATTTATTTTTCTTACATAAATCTTACAATGATTTTTTTAAAGTTTCAAAGTATTTTCTCTTTCATCGTGGTATTTTGTAATTGCTGTAGGACAGCTGGTATAATATTAAGCCCATTTTACCACCGGGGAAAGCCAGGGCTTGCATTCCTGTGACCATTCAGTAGCAGAGCCAGGAACTCTTCAGAGTACCTCTTTCTTTCACTGTCTTCCCCCCCCCACCCCCAACCCCCGGCAGTGTTGTTTCTCAAGGTCAAGCAGAGTCCATTGTGTTTTCTTGTATTTTCTAGTGTACCCAGCATAGTCCTAAGGATAGATTCTTTATACATGTTGGCTGACATGGAATGAGGCAAGTGGAGGTTTTTTCAAGCTGGTTTTAATAAGACTCTTTAATTGGGTCCTTCCCATATCTAGCTACTTATAGATCTTGCAGAATTCAGGGGCTGCATGATTGTTCTAGAATATTAACCAAGAACAATAGAAATGTCTAAATTAAGGGCTATATTTGAACGACTAATTTTCTTACAGATGTTAAAACTTTGAGAACGTAGCACCCATTAAACCAAGTACTAGTTACTGTTCTCTTTTCTTGGATATTATGGCACATTGAAATGAGAGTAATTAACAGTCTCAATTGCTTTGGAAACATTCTGTGATCATGAAGGCCAGTCACTCAGGTTCTTTGCTCTGTCCTCACAATTTCATGGAGTCACTTAAGCTTTGGGTCTAGAAATGAAGTAATATTAAACTCTTAGGACTTAAGTCATGCCAAGTCAGTTAGCTAACAAGCACTTAAGGAACATCTTTTATATTTTTTCCTTAATACAAATGATTCAGGCTAAGACTCAAGTTGCCAGCTTTTTGGCCATGAATTCTAGTCTATAGGTGTTTGAAAACAGTAATGAATTTTCTGCCTCCATCTGCTTCCTAGAGTACAATTAAGGGTCTAACCCAGCCGTGGGCAAACTACGGCCCGCTGGCTGGATCTGGCCCGTTTGAAATGAATAAAACTAAAAAAAAAAAAAGACCGTACCCTTTTATGTAATGATGTTTACTTTGAATTTATATTAGTTCACACAAACACTCCATCCATGCTTTTGTTCCGGCCCTCCGGTCCAGTTTAAGAACCCATTGTGGCCCTTGAGTCAAAAAGTTTGCCCACCCCTGGAACCTGATATAGGGTAGAATTTTCTCAGTGATATAATAGGTAGCATATATGCTGTCTATATGGTGTTATGAAGATTGGCTATATGCCATTATTTACAAATTAATTTAACCATATCTAGAGACAA